GAAACCACCTGTGTGCAGAATGGAGTTAGAGATGGCTTCTTCAGAGGTGCCATTAGCTATTCCTTGCATCATTTCTTTCAGCACAGCTGGTAGAATGTGGTCTGTGCAAAGATTTGGAAAGTTATTAACCAAGAGCAAAAAAGCAACATCTCAGCTGTCCTTGATGGCAGTGCAAAATTCAGGACAGACTGAAGGAGCACAGAGGTACTGCCAGACATAATTTTTTTTTCCGTCAAGAATTAGGTGGTTGTAGTACCTGCGGAAGAAAAGTACCAGGTACGTGATTTGGCTTCTTGGCAATAGAAAAAAATATTTTGGCTTCCTACCGCTGTCTTTACTGATTCAAAATTCAAGTCTGCTGGGTGGCCAGAGCTTGCGGGCGCTTTCTTTCGATGTCCATAGGTGAAGCTAATCTTCAACAAGGCCGTTTCATACACCCCCAGGTAAGTTGGTAGGAGCAGATGGCACACCTGCTAATAAGCAGGATTGTCACACTTGCAGCTCCCTCAAACACCTTTGATTCTGTTTAGCAGAGAGGGAGCATTTCAAAAGGCTGATGTCCTCATTTGCAACAACTTGTGACATTCTGAGGTTCATTTGGAAGATTAATGCCTAAACCCCCCAACACAAGCCACGCATTTTCTTACGTATAACTAGTATTTGATAGTTTGTTTCTCACCCATCTCACAGAAGTAAACTCACTACCAGTCACCCGGAAAGGTTCAACACTGCAGCTCAGGCCTTGCAGTCTGCTAACAGCTTCTCTCAGATCCATCAGCGAAGTTCATGAGCGCTCCCATGCATCTCAGGTTCTGGCTCAGATCATTAGGACCGACTGTATGAACGTGGATGTTTCTCAGTAAGCCAAGACTATAGTTTATGAACACAATGACTGAAAGGTCTTTACTGGATTACCTTAGTGGATAATACTGTTAAAAGACAAAGGAGAAATTAAAATACAAGAAGGTTATTGAAGGACAACTATTTGGTGTCATCTCATTTATTTTGAAGTGTCCAGATTTTTTTTTTTTTTTTAAGAAATTGCTTTTTGATTTTTTTTTTTCTGTCGTCAGAGTTTAAATCAAGTTTAAATCAAATTGAATTCAAACTTTAAATCAGTGTGAAATTGTCAATCTGGCAGGCTAGTAAGCTGTGTTTCACACTTCGGGAGTGCTACCTACCCAGAAACAGCAGGACATATTAAACAATTGCTGTAATATAAATAAGGGGAATATAAACAAAGTCTTCTTCCTATATCTCCCGAAGAAATCTGATCTTTACACAACTCTTCAGGGGTTTGATGTGGGGAGGGGAAGGCTATAGCCTTCCTCTTTCTTTTTTCCTCTAAGTCATTTTAAGGTCATTTGGATAAATACTGTGGGAGTCAATGTTATCTGTGAGCTGCCTGACAGGCTCTGTCAGACAAAATCAAAATCCCATGATCTGTAACGTCTCATCCAAGACCCACTGTGAAGATACAGCATATCCTGAATCCCACACACATCTTTACTGAAAGTGATATAGGAAAGCAATTTCTGGCACCAAAAAAAAAAAAAAAAAAATTAAAAAATTCCTTTCTCATGGTACAATCATGTCTCTTTGGAGAGGTCACACTCAATTATAAAGTGCCTAACTTTGGAGGTTCTCAGTCTTTGGGTGTACCGAGAGATGGCTTGCTGTCCCAAACTGTTGACATTTGTATTGAATATGGGCTTTTGAAAGAACTTTGCATATGCCAAAGCATTCACTACCCACAAAAGGCTTTATGCATGTGAATTTAACCCAGTGGATGGTTCCCCTTGTTAGAAACACCAGAAGTTATTGTGAGACTGGAAGCAGAATCCTAGGACGCTTTCTGGTGTTGTGACAACTTCCTACTCCAAGTCCCCCTCGGGTTTTTTATCGCTGATGAAATGGAAAGCAGCGAAGCAGGCATATGAAATAGCTCACCTTTCCTTGGCTTTCGTGTCAAATGACAATTTTTTCGAGTTTCAGGGATGGGTTGTGTAGTACAGTATCAATCTCTTCTTCAAAAGCCTAGAGGAGGAGCAGCTCTGCAGTAAGGGCAGCCGCCCTACTGCCGGTGGAGCTGCCCTCCTTTGGCAGGAAAGCTCCCAGCACCACTGACTGCTCCTTCCTCTCCAAAACACCGCACGAACCAGATCGCCTAGTAAGCATCAAATCATACTGCACTAATAAAAATAAATTTCTTGGCAACGTACTTGATTTGGCTCCAACTTGTTCGACAAAAACTGGTTTATTAGGTTAAGTCATTTTGCTTACCTAAAATTTGCTGAATAGGTTCTTGCAACACCACATGTCGAATGTCCTTTTAAAAACTTGTGAGAGAACATCTGTGAACCTCCTGTGTCAAACATCTCATCAAAAGTATTAATCCCTTACTGAACAGAAAATGTGATTTCTCTTGGGTTGGGTGCAGAATCTAGCAATGTGAAAGATGAACTGGAAATAAATCATGAGGAAAAACTTGCACATAAAATCAATCTCTACAAGTGAACAGAAACTCTAGACCTGATAGAGGATGCAAACAAAACCGTAAGTGAATCAATTAAGATTTTAAATTAGCAAATTGCTCTGATTTTATAAAGCATCAGCTTCTCGCTGCTTTACAGAGACCAATTGGTAGCAATAATCAGCAACAAATGACCTCACTTAGCATATACAAAAATGACCAGCCTGCATTTACAGACCAGTACAAAATCAGGCAGATCTGTACCCCTTTGGGTCAAACTGCAACTGAGGTTTCCCTGACACAAGGGGCAGCTGGCTGTTTGCAAACACCCAGCTTTACAGCAGATTTTCCAGCAGGCTGATCTCCTGCAGCTGCCAACTGGAGGAGACCAAGAGATACTGATGCTCTCTGCCAACTCCTGGCTGGCAATTTTTCTACACCGCAGAAAACCAAAGCATTTTGTGAACACTTCTTGTCCCACAGCAACCCTAAAAGAGCTGAGGTGTTAAGGTATTTATTAACATAATTGATTCTCAGGGTTTTGAACATTAAATTTTAAAGGGCAGAAGCCTGAAAACTGCTTTTAATGCACAGGTAGGTAATACCTACCACTGAGCCTTTTCAGTGCTTTTCTACTCCTCATACACGTGTGCTTGCAGCACTTAATTACAATGCAATCACATCTAAGACTAAAAAGACTGGCACACTGTCAAGAAGACTATTTACACTGCCCAGCTGGAGATTCTAGGAAATCGTGGCTCCTTCTGGGTTTTATCTGCTTTTAGCTGCCTGACACCTTGAGAATCACAGCCCTTGTGTGCTCACAGCTTTGGATACCTAAGCCTTTCTTTCAAGCACAGAAAGCCTTGCTTGACCTGTGATAGCAGCTGTGGTTTCAGCATTTGCTCCCTGTCTTTTGCTGCCCACTCAGATACCCTACATCATCCCTTCCAGCCCAGGGGCACAACTGTGCTTGCAGCTGCACTGTGAGGTGCCTGGGGGTCCAGCTGGGCTGAAAACCAACAGTCCTCCCTTTCTCCCCGTTTTCCCTTCGCTGTTTTGCAGCTGGATGCATTTCCCTGGCTACAGCCCTGCACATAACAGTGGGGATCACAGAGGCACCAGCTGGAGGGTGGGAAGGAGGGACTTGGGATGACAGTTGCTGAAGGGAATCACTGAAAATATCACCCTGAAATCACCCTGCCAAAAAAAAAAAAAAAATTTCCTTCTGCTCACCCACACACTAGCAGACTCCTCAATCACTCTCCAGGGTTGGAGTGAAATGTTTATTCTGTAAATCCCAGCAGTGCTGAGGTGGGGAGAGACACTCAGTTCATCAGTACTGCTGGCAGCAAAGTGCAAAGCAGAACATGAAACAGCAGGGACTTCAGATACCGGTGTTTTGCACCCACAGGCTCTAGATGTCTGAACACAGAGACAGCCAACAAGGGAACAGGCCCTTGGGGATCTACATTTTAAGTTTGGGAGGCAAAGTGAATCTTCCATTCTGTATAGGACCAGCCTAGGATCTTAACTGCCATCATTAAGTTAAGGAACTGCTTTTGTTCACCTGTCAAGTAGAAGACTACTAAAACACAGCGTTTTAGACCATCAGTAATTTCTGTTCAAATCCATTCACCCCTAGGAAACCTAGAGCCGAACCACTGAAGACTGATACTACGGGCTATGGCAAATTCATAACACAAACCCTACTTTAAGATCAGCCCCTTGCCTTCATTCCATATTGTTACTTATGCATTGAAGCAAGCACTGTATTGCTAACATTTTCCAGTGCAGCAATTTCATTCAATTCTACTATTTAACAAAGATCAGGAGAAAATACCACAGAATTCCCATCGCCCTGCTTTTCATATGCAACTGCATTCACTGATCACTTCAACAGCTGCATGCAACTCTAGAGCCAAGGACTGCTCAGGGGTCCACATGTTTCAAGGCAAGAAAAATTGAGATTCATATGTGGCACAATAAAAAAAAAAATATTACCAGCAGGCTATTTCTCTGAAAGCATTGCAAAATCTTTTTTGACAAAACAATTGCAATCTTTTACCATCAATGAAAAATATTTAGATTCTTCACATGCTTATGAGTGTTTTAAAGCTTGAGCTGATGCCCCCTATTTCTGGTAGTCTGACTTTATCTTACAGCTGTGACTTGCTTTCAGTATATTCAGCGAGTACCTCTTTTCTATCTTGAGCATAATCTTTGTCTTTATATACCTTATTCATTTTACAATTGTTTTCCATTTCAGAACAGCTGTGAAGTGCAGTTTTTTAACCCACGGATATAACACAGTACAGTAGTATCTATACACAGAACACTGATATTTGACTAATTCAATTTTGTCATATGCATATACAACAAAAATCTGAGCCCTGATCCATACAGTTCCCAAACTGTGTAATTTGCAGCTATTTTTAACATCATCCAGCATTCATATTCAGCTGCTTTTAGGTTTAAAGAAACCTTATTTTCATCCCTTCCAGTAAATTTAAAGAGAGGGTTGCACTTTTTGTTTTGTTACTCTTTATTTTAAATCTACTTATCCACAGCACACATGAAATGGTGTTTTGCAATGACTGAGGGTGATTGATTTTACAGGGCAATGGACAACATTGATATTCCCTGGCACAAAGGACCAATTTTGTGCCAGGAAACAGTCACATGAAGTGTTAAAAAAAACCAAAACAAAACATAAATATGGCATAGCTAAGGTCCTGAAGTACAGGGATTTAACACCACCTTTAAAAGCAAAGGCTGCATTCAAAAATCCTGTAGTAAAAAAAATACAAAGTATATTGGAGAAGGTGTAAATTTAGAACACTGAGCAGTGAGAGATAAAGAACAGGTAGTCAAAGATGCATGCATTTCTATTCCACTGAAGATGTTAGACACAAGACCACCTCTTTGCTAGAAGAGAATAAAATATATTGTACAGAACAAAATATACAGTACAGAGAGAAAACTAAATCAGGAGGCCATATTTGCAGTAATGTTTACCATAGAAGGGTAAAAACGTTTTCAACATAGGATGAGAGTTTGGCATTAACAGAAAATGTTTGTTACATAGCAGCTTCAAAGGGTGGCTCATAGCTTGCACTCACTGATGTGACCCTGAAGAAATATGAAAAAGAGAGGGGAAGCAAGATGGTTTTGAAAGTGAAACTGTTAAAGAAAATCACAGAGACTGAGCAATTTTCATTTTTGTTTCAAGTCTGTGTTCTGCTGAAGTCACTTAAACATGAGGAAGGAATTGCAATGCACAGCTGTTTATCAAAGCAAAATGGGTAAAGAGGTAGTGGATAGCCCAAGGGTAGTGGGACTTGGAGAGCAATGATTGGAAGAATACTGCAATGTAATGCAAAACCTAATTCACCAACAATTAATGTTTGAGTTTAAAAAACAAAACCAAACCAAAACAAAAAAACTAAAAAACCACAACAATAGCATGTTGTTGAATAGCTCCAGATTGATTTAAATAGCATGGGGATGGGGGTCTAGCCAGAACCCACTCAAATTGAATACCTCAGAACACTCATGCAGCCCCTGAAATAGGGAGACTGAATATTAATAACCCCTCAGGGTATAAAGGATCTACAAGTTAATGCAAATATCACAATTTAGCAAGCAAAAAGAGAAAAAGCCTAGATATAGGAAACAATTATCAAAATTAATTTTAAAAGTATGTTCTTGGAAAAAAAATTAAATGTATGCCTAGCTTGACAATTAAAATTTTATTAGCTTTACAAAAATACCACCAAAAGAAACCTTGGTCCTATTGATGGAAGAGCCATGCCATGCAACTTGTCTGATTTTGTTAGATATTCTATCATGAAGGAATTTCTGATGCTGTCTGTGGGAGTGTTTCATACTAAATGGTCCTCATGTCTCTTCTCAGAAGAGATTTGCTAGGGAAGGAACTGCTAATAATAATTAGGCCATCTGCCATGTTACTTCAGTATCAGAAAGACATGAAAATCTGTTGGAGCTCTCAGCCTAACCTATTTCAGTACGATTTTTACTGTTTCTCCAGTGCCACAGCTGTGTACAGCATTTTACAGACTAATAAGAAGTGGCAGGTTGCTGCTCAAGGAGCTGACAGCCTGAATTAAACATGATGCACCACCATAGAAGTGAACCTGAAAAACTTTGAGAACAGGCTAGCAGAATTTAGAAAATAAGGGAGATTATTTCACTAGCTACCTAATTAGCATTTTATATAGATATGCATGTTTGCTGCTAGAGTAGCCTTTTTTTTTTTAATCACAGGGAATTAGCTACAGAAGTACATTTTTGGGTTGAAGGGAAAGATAGTGTTGTAAAAAAGACACTTGGGGAAAAACAAAAATCAGTTGTATAATGCATATATGGGCAGGGAAGCATTCCAGCCAGAGCTAATGAAAATTATCTTCTGAAAGAGAACTAAGCACAAGCCAATTAGGGAGGATAGAATTGTAGAATGAAACCTCCGAGATGAACTTTGAACCTCAGGTATGGATGGTGATCACAAAATTACACAACAGGGTGGAAAGCAGAGTAATTGATCAAAACCAGGAGATGAATCAGTACTATACCTGAGGAATAAAAATCAAAAAAATAATGTAATAGAAGTGTCCACAGGGCAGAATATAGCATCAGTGTGAAGAAAACAAGAGGCTGAACTTATTGAAAGGGATACTGAAGGGAGACACAGGCAAGTTGCAAAGGAATTTCAAGTTAGCTGCATTCAGTTTAGCGGCTCAATTGTCAAAAGGGAAGTAAGTCACGTGTCATTTGAGGATTGTTACATTGAGGGCCTGAAAACTGAAAATTCTCAGAAAAATAATTTTGATATAGGAGGCATCAGGGTAGAAACCTAAAGGATGGAAATTACTTATTCAATATCTGATGTTTCTTAGTTACTACATACGTGGTATCATATGTAAAAAAAAAACATACTAAGGTTTTATTTTAATGACCCACCTCTTACATTTTTCCTATCAAATAGGCTGCAACAAAAATTAAAAAAACTCTGAAATAGTACGCTTTTTACTACTTTAATACTTACAGAACTACTGCCTCCAGTTGCCTCAAATTCTTGCAAGAGAATACAAGTCTGCAAGAGTGTACTATTTATCCAAACTTTTTTCATACTACCATTACTTTTTTTTCATAGCTATTTTGGGAGACAGACATTAAAGATGCAGACACTTAGTAGAAGTTAAGCATTACAGCAGAGTAACATTCTATACTCTAAATTCATCCCATCTATTCTGCAGGAGTTTTAGGGAAACCTCCCCTATATGCATGCCCTTGTTCACACGAGTGCAAAGGTTTTATTAGAAGACCACAAAACAGACCCAAGGGCTGCAGCATGCAACACCCTGCCTTTCAAAGTTTCAGCTATTAAACCTAAAGAAATTTTCGGGACTGTAGAGCTAGAAGACTTCAACACTTTTGAGAGCACACTCTCATCCCAATTGTGGCAGCAGCAAACTTCCCGAGCCAAACATACAAAGGCCTTGCACTATAAAGTAATGGGAAAGGTAAGATGGTAAAACGTGCAGATGGGAGTCTGGACATTCACATGGGCCTGGCAGAGAACCTGCAGCTGCTGCTCAGTGCTCAGCTGTGACCAAATGACCACAGTGAAAAATACTCTTTCAAGGACCATATTCCAAAGTTTCTCAGGCTGCACAGAAACTTATTTTCCAGTAGTGATTTACACATCCTTCTCTTCTGTTCATAGTGTAGAGACAGCACCAATCTTCCCTACTCCTGCAAGAATTCTGCTATCTCGGTGGGAAGAGGCTAAAAAAGCTCGAAAAAGCCAGTAGTGGGTGGAGCGATTCTGTTTTCATACAGTCTGTTGTGCAACAGCACCATCCAGCTGTCAAACAAAAAAAAAATCCAAACATTAATGCCACTATCCAGATTTGGTCCTTGTACCACAAGCAAAATGAAAAATTACACCTATTAAACAACAACAAAAAAAAGGAACCCCCAGGTCTTTTCCCTGCTTCTGAATTAATTATATTGATCCACTGTGTTATGTTTTCTGGGTTAGTACACAAGAGTGTGCTTTAGCAAAACTAAGAATTCAGCCCAGTTTACTTCTGCCCAGTAAGACTGGCAGGCTACAGCTTACCTCAGCGCTTCAGTGAAGTGTGGAATATAAGCTCTCAGGTATGAGGAAAAGAACATTATCTTTGGCTCACAACCAAAGACAGTTAATTGCACTACAAAAATTAATGGAAAAAACTCAAACATTTCATACATAAGAACCTATGTTTTAGCTATCATAACTTACCACTCTTGAGCTTCAGTAGCGAAAGCAAGAACAGCAACCTCCAGTGAGGGGGAAAAATGATGAAAACTCAGACTGAACTAAGATCACTTTTGAGAAGCATTAGGACATGAGGAAGAAACCTTCTTGCTTTGACAAGATTTTTCATAACATTGTGTTATTTAACAGTAACTATGAAACATATACAATGAGAATAAATTAATAAATGACATTGTCTACAACCTGTGACTGATCACCTGAAATAAATCTACAAGGTCACTGCTTAAACTGCCCTCAGTTCTTCACTAAACTCAATTGTGTCGTAACACCCACAGAGAGCTTACCATGTGTGTCCACTGACGATTAGGAAGTCTAATATTAGAATACAGTTCTTGCATTACATGTGCCTTAGCCTGTCCTGGGAGCCCACATTCTTGCACCGATACTTGAAAGCAGAAAATGCATCGCCTTTTCTGACTTTCTGAAGTCCAGTACTAGTTCCTTGCAAACGCTCTACAAAGTAGTGCATGGTACCTATTAAAATCTAAAAATAAGTTAGTCATCCTTTAAAAGAAAACAAAAACAGTGGAAATTTTCCAAGCATCAGCAGAAAAAAAAAAAAATGTAAATGTAACAATTAACCTAGGAGAAAGGGCATTTCCACACTCAAAGAAAACTTGAAAGGAAAACCTAATATAAATGACTTTAAGGAATTTGAGCTTATGCAAGGAAGAATCAGCATAATCACATCACGAGAAGATGCTGTTTTTCTTTCCTAGAACTAAGACCTGCAGTAGATTTTAATGTAAGCCTGGAACATCAGAGCGCAGCAACAGGAAAACAGCAAGCACTAGAATAGTAGCTAAAGCCACAGAAGCAAAGAACATGCCCAAAGATACAGCAGAGGTGCCAAATGACAAACTTGTGCCAAGTGCGAGAGAAGGTGCCCTTAGACAAGCAAGGCAGCAGAACCAGAAGAGTCCAGAGAGACACAGCCCTAAGGGAAAGGGGTCAATCAGCTCCTCCAAAACCCCAGATGAACAGGAAGGTCAAATAGAAGCATGGCCATTAAAGTATTATGGCTAAGTTTGACTAATGAAAGCAAGGAATATTCCTCTCACTAAGACAGGGACAACAGAGAACACAAGACCTACAAGAGGACCTGTGTTAGAAAGTCATGACAGGACTACATCGTTAGATCAGAGACAGAACAACGCTACTAGAAAAAATTTGGAAGGAGAACAGACCAAAATGCTCAAATTGGTAAAAAAAGAATTGGTGCCAAATGGGGAGGGGAAGAAAAAAAAAGACTGGTTATGTAGGAAGGCATTGGAAGAAGATGACAAGGAGGCTGTGGGCAAGAAAGAGCCTTTAAATCTGTAATGAAAGGTTCTTCTCTGTTCCACACACAAAAAAAAAGAGCCAAAGTTTTAATTTTAAGTGCAGAGAAAGTAATTTAAAATCAAGAATCTGCTGATCTTGATCGAAGAAAGGCTATTTCCCTTGCCAGAACTGACTAGAAAACTTGTGACATGGCTTGCAGGCTGCACAGCTATGCTCAGAGAATTGCATACTCAAAAGGCATAGGGTAACACACTCATTCTAATAACAGAAAGGGTACGATCAATTAATTTCAAAACTCATTTGCACAAGGAGAACAGATAGAAAGAAGAGGAAGAGGAAAAGCAGATCTCCATTAGTTACTAGTCAGGTCAAATAACAAGGGGGAAGCTGGAAACAGCATAAAAATCCCACTAAGCATAGAAATAGGCCTCCAGTGGAAAGAAACAAGACAAGCCAGACAGAAGGAGAAACAGGAAGCCATGAAGTCTTTCCAAAACAGTCTAAATAGAGACACAACACTTTTACACTATCCTCCATGAGGTCAGCCAGAGTTCTGCCAACTTGATCACAGTAAGTCCTAAAGGATTTCACATGGAACTTGAGCTCATGACAGTGGTTTTTCTGTTTTACCACAGGGTGCAAGCTTTTAAGCCAGGACACCAGAAGGTACTAGATGTAAGAAAACAGTGTTTCCACTAGACGGCAACCCATTTATGCTTACTAGTTGTTCAGTTTAGTTAAGGAATCAATCTTACTTAAGATCAGGGTACCTGTTCAAACTGAGCTTTGTAGTCTTGTATGAGTAAGCATTTCCAAACCCAGGGCTTCAGCTGTCCAGTCTTAGATAGATGTACTATAGTTAAACCTGCCATGTCACTCAGAGTATATGTTTACATGGTTACAAGTTCGTCCCCACCCCGCCTCCCCACCAGCAAAGTATCTATTTACTATCCACAGAAGGTACCACTCAGTTCAGACCTAAGGAGTCCAGTTCTATCTTCATCAACCTCTCTAACCTTGTAACAAGTGAAGCTTGCAGATCTGATTTATTGCAAGCTTCTGCTGTCACCAATGAGTGCAGTGGCAGACCGAATGACAAGCTTTGGGATTTTAGTTCATGAACAGTCTTATTTAAAGCAGGGACGCAGAACACAGCTCATGTGAACAGTGATAAGATCACACATGATAAATCCATACTATTAGGCAGAATAGCTGGATACAAGAAACATGTTGCACACATCAGTCTCCCAACCTGCTCCACCCTTACAACTGCACTGCAACAGTCACCAGCCCCGACTTTTCAAACAGACTTTCTGTGAGTCCCATTCATTTTCTACTTAGCATTTCACAGCAAGTTAGTTTCTAGTTCTGAAGTGTCTAGACATAAGTTGTGTTGATAGCCATGTCTTCCAGTGAGAGACCAAGTTGCCATGACAGGGAATATGAATAAAACCAAGAAGTTCTATCTTAGAAAGCTTACACATTTCAAAATTTAAGAACTTATTTTAATCCAAGGCAACCGTAAAGTCCAGTTCATAAAAGGGCAACTTGCTGCTAAGTTTTCATATATACAGTGAAAACAGTCAATCAATGCAAGTTTCTAGTCAGTAGGGCTTCTCCATTGTTTCCAACATTTTCTTTCTCTCTTCTGCTGAGGGCATCTCTGGTTTTACACCACTTCTTTTCCTCTGCATCATAATGTCATGCTGAAAACAGAAGAAAGTGACCATGAGAACACAGATTTCTTTCTCAGAAGTCTCTGCCTCTGAGCTCTGAATGAATAAGATTATTTAATAGAAGTGCTCTTTATATATCAAGATCCAGATACTCTAAGTCTGATTAGCTGTTAACTAAATGTACTAGTATTTACTTGAATATATCTGTTAGTTTACCTTGCTGCTTCAGAAGACAGTGAAGTTACGGTATTGCCATTACGCTGCGTCAGACTAATGTGCAATTGTCTGTAAATAGTTTTTTGCTAGTTTGTGCAAGTACTTAAAAGCTAAGCTAAAAGACTCTTTACTGGCATAAGGAAAGAAAATAGCAGAGAACAGTTTAACTACATGTAATTCCTCATTATACTTCTCTATCATAAGAGAAAAGGAAATAAGGACACCACCAAATAAGAATGAACTCTTCCTAAGCTTTCTCTTAAAGTAAATATGACCCAAAACAATGGAAAAAGAGATGAACTTCTCCTACTTCAAAATTTTTTCACAATATCCATTTAAAACAGAACTTATTACTAAAAACATCTGACTCAAATTCAGAGGGAAACATATCAGGTACTACAAGAGCACTGACACCAATCTTAGAGGGTAAACTTAGGAGAACCAAATGAAGTACCTTGTTGTGCATCTGCTTAAGTCTTCCAGTAACACGTACTGAGACTACCTGGATCTGCAAGTCACCCTAAAACCAGCAGCAGACAGCACTAGCTAAAATCTGAAGAGTTCAGAAAACAGTGAGTGTGTCAGAAGTAATGTACTTGAAGCAAAGTATGGAATAAAATTTTAGAAAATCTACTGTGCTTACCCAGAACTTTCTACAGCTTTTGTACTTCAAAAAATAAGCAGTACACATATCCTTGTTATAGTTGTTGTCATCCATACATTTTCTAGAGGCATCTGTTTCCTTTAATAGGGAAAACATATTTCAGAGCCGGGGGAAGTTACTGTACTCAGCATCTAAAAATTCTAACAAATCCCAGAATACCTACGAAGATAGGAGGCAGCTTCTCAGATGAAAGAATATTATCAAAGAGAGCAAAGGAACATCTATCACAAAGGATAATCAGTAATTCCAAACAATGACTTCATTTAGAGATAACAGACATTTGTACCCTTTAAATAGGAAGGAGAGAGTTCACAGAATAGTTGTTTACAAAGATGCTTGTTATAACCCTCAAAAGACTTTTAAGAATCAACCAAGCTTGTCTAACCAGGATTTCAGGCTCTGGTTTTAAGGACAAAACATTGAAGAGATTGCTATCAGTTGTATTAGTCTTATTTATGAGGAATTACTCACTATTTCACATTTACTATAATGGATGATTTTCAGCTTTTCCCATCTTCAGACTCTTTAAGAAACTTTATGCAAAACACCAATGGAAGGGTGTTATCCATAAAAAAATCCTCTAGAAATTACATTATTTTGCATTGAAACATACAAACAGAAATCCCAAGTTGATCATCTTACCGCTACACATGGATTTATATCAGGGTCTCTAAGCTGCTGTGCATGCCTGGGCATTCTAGACAGACACTCGTATCTTGGCTAGAAACAGAAAAGAAACAAGTTAAGTATCTACTTTGATTAGTAACTCAGGAGTAAGTCTGAACTTCAGCATGTAATAAAGGTCTTCCAGTAACGTATACAGTTGGGTTGTCTTAAAAAAAAAAAAAAAAAAAAAAAAAAACCCAAACATAAAAACAAAAACACAAACAGCACCACAAAACTTCTGCAAAAATGTTACTTCAAAAAGCACTAACAGCAAGACAACTCAGACTCGGGCAAGTTTAGCCTGTCACTGAGACTGTTTACTCCCTGATAAATTCCTGCAGAGAATAAAGCCACCGCAGTGACTCTCATACCTGCTTGTCACATTGTTGAGGAAGTGAACACATCTAGGAGAAACAGCTCCACAGAAGCTATTCACAGCCAACACACTGTAGACACTTCAAATAGTGTGGGGGAGAAATGTACAAGCAAACTTTTCCAGAATTGTGCCTACTCCTTCGCTGGATCACATCTGTACCTTCACTGAGCTTTTCCTGGTGCAACAAGTGCATTGCTGTATCAGGTATTTCACAGAGGAAGAAATGGTTTCACTACAAGGATGGACCAGACCCCCCTTACACCGTGTGTGACAACTTGAATCACATTTTTCACCAGTTTTGTAGTTTGACACTGACTCTAGGAACTGCAAACTTGAGACACACAGAGCTCAGTGCCAAGAACCTACACTGATCCAAGATGATGACATCAAGACAAACAGCAGACCCTCATTCTCTTTATAACTTCCCGTACATTGCCTCTGCCACACATATGGCTATGCAGGTATTTGTTCCAAACAAATATTAAATATAACCAAAAATATATTAATGTTGGCCAGATGACTGTTTGAGCCAATGCAAGCAGAAACACAGGACTGCGGAAGAGAGAGCTCCTTTCATCAAACTGAAGTACAGCTGATGAAGGGGGGGAAAGATGTTCTGTGAAAGAACATCCTTGCTTGATCTTGTCGGCTGTTTTGTTTTTTTTCCTAAAAACATTGCTGCTAATTCTAAACTTAAATCCTTCTCTGTTCATGTTAGAGACTGATAACTGCAACTTCGCAGTAAAAAGCCAGTTTTGCTCTCTATCAGTGAACAAAAATCAAATACTACTTAGTAGCTCAAAGGATGTTTTAGATGAAGGTGGCTCTTTGGGTAAGAGTAAGCTGTTCTAGCTGAATAAGCCATAGATTTTACATCCTGCACAAGTACGCTCTCCCGGTGCTTGGTGTCTTTTTTGCATTTGACATGAACGTTTTCTGCAAACGGGCCTTTTAAAGAACAGCATCGGGAAACCCTTCCACTTTCCTTTGAGAACTATCCAGTGTTTAAGGTAACTTTACAAGCTAGGCAAACATTTGCTTTTTTTGTGGGTGCAAGGGGATTTCTGAGCAGGCGCTTCCAACTCAAATGGAAACACAAGCCTGTAGAACATATAGCAACATCCCAGACTTCAAGGAAGGGGGGAGGGGGGAGTAAAAGAAAACAAAAGCAGCCTATCGCAATGCCTCATTTAAGTCAGTACCACAGACACAATGTTTTTAGAGGTTTGTGCCTGTTATAGCTCTGTGTTTCATTGATACTAGAGGTGTAAGTACCACCTAAGCAGACATGCCTCAAGGTGTACGGTATTAGACTGGCTTCAGCCTTACTCCCTGAAAGAGTATTCATGAGTCGTAGGAGGTGTCATCATCGGCGTTCATTACACAAACTGCAATTAACATTTTCGGTTTGATTACGCTACCAGAGTCTGCAACCGTGCCCAGTTTAAGGAACAATGCACACAATACATTAAATACGTACTTAATAAACAGGCAGTTCAGGTTCTCATGAAGCTGCTTAGTTCAGAGTAGGCAAATGCTTAACCATACTTAGTACTACCAAAAAGGTTTGACAGCGCCTGCACGCGTTCCTCTCTTCCCCTCTCTGAAGCACTTCAGGATTTGAAACATTATCAGCTAGAAGGGCGGGCAGGTCACACCAAAATGCTGCTGTGCGATTGAATGAGCAGTTGGGCAGGAAGCAAACTTTCCCCCCCAGCTTTTGCACATGCACAGGCTTCCCTTCCTGCTTTCAGATTAGAGGTCCGAGCCCAACCACAACCAAAGGCTTGTCTCTTCCGCAGTTCTTAATTACACTTTAACACATTAACAGTTGCGAACTGTAGCACAGAGAAATACATTTGTTGCTAGCACTCTTTAACCCTGGGGCTTTTTCTGTTCATAAACCACCAGGCCATTTTTCTACGGGCTCCCTTCCGTTGCAAAGCGTTTGGGTTGTTTTAAATGCATAGATACGTACATACAAAGTGGCTAATTATGCTGCGATACAGACCGGCTTAAGAAACCTTCAACCCTGGAGGGCAGGCCGGATAAAACTCCCACAGCTTGCACCGCTATCACAGCGGGACGAGCCGGGGGCGGGAGGAGGCAGCCGGCGGGGTCGGGCGCTCGGCACCGCGGAGATGCCTCGCCCACCTCAAGCCCTCGCAAGAGGGGCTTGCGGGGCAAGTCAGGTGCAGAGGGGCGGGCGGGCCGCCGCGGGGCCGGCCATCGCCGGGAAGACGCCGGGCGCCCAACCACCCGGCCCCCGCCGCCCCTCACCGGTAAGGACGGGGGGGGGGGGGGGGGGCGCGCTCCCCGCCTCGCGCGGGTAACGGCCGGGCGCCCCAACGGCGGCCGCCCCGCGCGCGCGCGCAGCCTCCCCCCTCAGCAGCAGCTGCCGCCGCGCCGCTCCCCAGCCCGGGCAGGGCTCGCCCCGCAGGCGGCGAAGGACGAGCGGAGCTTTCCGTGCGTCGTCCCACCCCCCTCCCCTCCCCTCCCAGCGGCGGGGAAAGGAGAAGCGGCGCCCGGGCAGCGCGGCGCGGCGGAGGCGGCGGCACTCACCTCCGTCCCCGGCTGTGTCCGCGGGCGCCCGCGGCGGGAGGGGGGCAGCCCGTCTCCAATTCGAAAGACGTCAGCGGCTCGGGCAGCCCGCTTAAGTACGGGCGCAGCCTACCCCGCTCCCGGCCTCGCGGCTCCCCCCGGCCCAGCGCCGCCGCCGCCCACGCCCCGGCGGCGCTGAGTGGCAGTGCCGGGCCGCCAATGGCGGCGGTGGCGGGCCCGCCCCGGCCTTGAGCGGCGCCTCCTTCCACCAACGGGGCGGGCGGCGCGGGCCGCAGGCGCCGGCGGCGGGGCGCGGCCGCGGCCCTGACTGACTGGGGGAGGCGTCCAACCCGCGGTGCGTGTGGGCGGCGGGCGGTGTGGGCGCGGCGTGTGCGGCAGGCTGGGCTGCACCGCAGCGCATACACTACAATGGCTGCTGGAAAGACGGGAAAGCAAACAATTTCCAGGCCCGCCGCGTCCAGCCCGAAATATGGGGAAAAAATTACAGAAAAATCGGAGAACACTGTAAAGGGTGGAAACGGGGCGCAGAGGGGATGCTGAGGCTCCCGCGGTGAGTCTGCTGCGGGTTTGGGGGGTAGGCGCCGGGGTTTAGCAGGGAAATATCAGGGTTATTTAAATTATGAAGGGGGAGGAGGAGAAGGAGGGGGGAGAGGAGCGGCGAGCAGTGAGGAAAAGTTTGTGTTAACCATCCCTCCCTTCCAGCCCTCTCCCCCCATCTCCCGCAGCCCCCCACCACCCCGCGTCGGACCCCCCCCCCCCCCCGGAGGGGAAAAGCAGGGGAGGGGAGGCGAGGCGAGCGGTGCCCCCCCCCCCGCCCCCCCCCCCCGTTCCTCCCCCCCCCCCCCCTCTTTCCCTTCCCCTCCCTCGGAGGGAGAAAGAGATGATTTTCAGAAAAACCTCTCTCAGGAGTTTCCTCCACTCCTCCCCTCCCTCCCTCCCTCCCCGCGGCGCTCCGTTGGTTCGCGGGCGAGGCGGCGGTCTGCCCGGGGGACGGCAGGAGGGCGCGGGGTGCCCGCCGCCGACCCCCGCGGCGGGCCGGGGCCGGGGCCGGGGCCGCGGCGCGGGGCAGGGGCAGGAGCGGGAGCTGCGCGGCCGCCCCCTCCCCTCCTCGCCTCTCCGGAGCCTGTGCTGTGAATGCAGTGACAGCGGCGAAAGCGGCGAGAGGGAGCGGAAGACATTAGAGACCGCGGTGCCGAAAAATGAGGGAAAAAATTAATATAAATTCGCCCCCCGCCTCAAACCGGCCGAATTTTGCACAGAAATTTCCCCCGTGGACCCGGCTACCCGTGGGGTGTCCCCCGGACCTGGCGGCTGCCTCTTTGGGGGGATCCGGAGTGACTTTGGGGGACTCGACCCCCCTTTCCCGTCGTTTTTTGGACAAAAGTTTTTTTTTTCGTAATAAAGAAACGAATTTGCCTGCTCTCCCCTTCCGAGTGGCCCAGAAGCTTTTCCCTTCCCCATCGGTGTGTGTTTAGAGAAAAGTGTGAACCCAAGTAAGTGCTGAGTCGTGTTGCATTGGGGAGGGGGGTTTGCTAACTGAAAGCAGGAGAAATCCGGAGAGAGAGAGAGAGAGAGCAGGGACAGCTTGTTGTCAGTATCATAAACAACCAAAATGGAGGGAGAACTGAGGCATATAACAAAATAAAAATCAGAAAAAAATGCCAAAAAATACCTAAAAATCGGGGCTGCTCCCCCTTTTCTTCCTCAAGGTAACAGAATAAAACCCGTGTCTTCCCGAGACCGTTTTAAGGTTTCAGGGAGCAAGGAGTTAATATTTATTATTTTTTTTTTTGTTGATGAATTCTTTGGAAAGGCAAAAGCCTCTTATAACTCGCCACCGACAATGAGAAAACGTGAAAATCCCTTTCAGGAGAGAGAGGTAGGGGGAGATGATAGTGCAGAAAGTGCATAACTTGGGGGTAATGTGGAGTGATCCTAGATAAGATAAATGCTGTATGTGCTGCTTTATAACTTCCTTTTTTTAATGCTTTTTGGTATGTTGGGGGGGGTTTGGGAGATGGGGGCTCCTTTCTTTTCCTCTGTCTTTTTTTATTTTTTTTCTTTCCTTTTTTTTTTTTTTTTTTTTTTTTTTTTTTTTTTTTTCGGACCGGAATGTAATGCCTTTGTAGTGTCACTTTCCTGATCTAATTAGGATGTGTGAGGCAAAGAGTAAACCTTTCCGGTTTATAAAGTGCATTTTCGTTGCCTTTGAATTTCAAGTTTTCCTGGTGTCTCCCTCCTCTATTTAAACTGGATATTTCAGAGTAGTGTGGGGTTGAGGTAATGCTCCATAGGGAAAGCAGAGATGGCTCAGGGGCAGGGCACCTCTCCTGCGGGTGATTGCTGATTTCCCTGGCACGTTCAGTTCACCTGTTTGTCTCCTACAAAGAATGTATTCTGCAGCCTCCTCGTTTTATTTATATAAAATAATGATGCCTCATCTCGCCTCACATTGAAGTTAATGCGAAAGTGCTGCTGATGTTGGTTCCACGTGGGATCAGGGACATAGCAGGGCATTTTAAAGAGACAGCTTCTCTTTTCCTGGGGTTATCATCACCTCTGCAGCACCTCTGGCTCTAGCAGAGGGAGGGTTCGTTGTTTTTGTTTTTTTTTTTAGGGGAAAGTTATCAAATCGTCCCTGGTCTGATAAATTAAGGCAGGATAATAGGGGGAAACGTGCAGATTCGTTTGGATCAAAGCAATTCTTTTGTGTGTAGCAGGTCTTGAGGGGAGTTTTCTTGGTGTGTTAATTAAAATGCTGTGTTCTGGAGAGCGTTTTCTGGAATGGGTGTTGCAGAAATTAAATAGTCTCAGGTTGTTTAATATTAAAACCTAGTGCTGTTCCGCTAGCTATGAGTTCCCTGGGAGGAGACCTGTGTGCATAGGGCAATTTCACAGACATTTTGTAGAAGTTGTGAAGTGCATTATTTGTACTTTGAATAAGTCCAGTTTTGTTGGCAACACCTGAACTTGTTGAAAAGTATTGTAGAGCTTGTTCTATACTTAAATCTTCTGAAGAATCCCCAAAGGTTTTGAAAATAGTGAGAATAACTGTAGGTTTCAATTGGCCAAAATAGGGGCTTTTTACAAGTACACCTTAGCTGTGTAATTATAACATCACTTGGAAGAATTGCCTCTGGCTTTGTTTAAAAAAAGAAAAATCATCCTAACTGCGGTCTAGTTTCATGTATATGTGTGCATGTGTGCGTGCATGCATGCTTTTAGCATGGATTCTGGCTGATACAGTTTTTTTCTTAATTTTTAACTTGTAAATGCTTAACTGTGATGATGTGAAATGCTCTGCTTGTCTCTATTATCTCCTGTATATTTTAATTTTCAGTGAAATATCCTATTAAAAAAAATCAGCATTGCCTCTTAACATGGCAATTTGATACCTTTATGAGGAGTTATGATGTTCCCTCTACATGTGCCTTGTTTGTGTAGTCTTTCTATTTAATTCTAGATTAAAAATTGAATATAGGTATGTGGTTCTCAAGGAGGAAGATGAAGTACTGAACTTGTAGGGAGGCTACTTCAGCAAATGTTTTCTTTGAACTTGTGGAAGTTGAGTATCAGTTGTGATAGCCCTCTGTGTTGAATAGCATGTGTTTGCAAATGATCTGTACCTTTTCTGCCAGTGTGACCAAAGAAGCTGTTGTATAGTAGTTGTTGACTAGGACAGTCTTGTGGTTAGAGATTTTGGAAGAAATCTTAAAGTTTTCCAGTGACTCACAGTTGTGAAAATTAAATCACATTAACTACTCTTAGGCTAGAGAAAAAAAAAAAAAAAAAAGCAAAAAAAAAAAAAAAGCTCATTAAGGAAGAAAGATTAATCAGTTTGTATAAAGGAATGAATTTGAACATTTTTCCAAAACTCTCTTTTATGGTTTAGAGATCCCTTTTATATTTAGCAAGAATTTATACTTCAAAGTTAACTTCAAAATATTTCTTACACTGGTCTATTTAATACCTGAAGCAACATTATCCTGAAATGCATAGAAATTTGATAAATTAATAGCAGTGTGCCATGTGTTGGTGTTTTTAATGTACCAGTGTAGACAGATAGTACTAGAAGTGCAGAGCTAACTGTAATAAACTAGTTTATCATACTGAGAACAGTATTTAAGAACTCTTCAAATACTGTGTCTGTGACCATTGGTGTGAAGTGTTTAATGTATTATTACATTTTTACCTAATTAAGAGCTTCTAAATCATTAATATTGTAATGCTGAAAATAGGCACAGGCACTGGCAATAACAACATGAAAAAGCACATATTGTGGAGTATCCTTCTTAACTTACAGTTATGTATCACAAAGTAAATTCAACGTATCCAACCAGAGTACAAAATTCAGGGCATAGGGAGGAGGAAGAGGAAAGGGTGTTCTCTCAGAATTTGATACTCTTCTAAACTGGGTTTAATTTTAAGGTATAATCCAGATGGTGATAATAATAGCAGAAGATAAATGTTGTTTAGAATTGTTTTCAAAGCTTCATTACTTCTAGGAGTTAAGACAATCTTCTCTATTGTATGTTGTTCTGATTCTATACATGAGTCTGTATGGGTTTTTTAAAAAATTTCTAAAATTAAAACACCTGAGGAAACAAATACTATGGGCTGTTGTTGGTAAAGTTACTCTACTTTTTGTAGGTAAACTGGGGAGCTGTAACCGTTTTTAAATCTTTCTTAGATTCTTATCAATGCTGTTCAATAGTTTTTAAAAGTTAATAACTACAGTATTCTACAACAGTACAGCAAATACAGGAATCTAAATTGACATGCATTCAACTTTTCTTAAATGCTTAGTTCAAGTGTGTCTCTTGGTATGTACCTTTAATTTATCAATTATCCTGAAAAATTAGTTTCCCAATGTAGAACTTTGAGATTTAAATTAAGAAAATTCTAAAGTTTGTGTAATTCCAAAAGGCACAGCATACAAAGTGCAGCCACTTCTAATGGTCGTCCATCTCTGCAGCTAGTCAGTCAAAATGGTGCCCTTAAGTCTCCTCCATTCAGGGTAGTGCATGTGTTTTAAAATTAATGGGTTAAAGAGGGCACTGCTCATGTTCTAAAGAAACTACTGTTTGCAACTGTTCAAGGTTATTTTGTTAAAAGAGATGCTTTACCTCAGAGTGTAAAACATACCTTTTTTAAAATTTTGTGTCTATAACCTCTTATATATTTAAAACCAGTTTTTGTCAGCAAATACCTTTTGGGAGGGTTCTTGTACAAGTTTATCTGTTTACCAAGGGGAGATGTTCTGGAAAATGTGAAATATGTTAGAGCAATTAGACCATTCTCAAATCAGTGTAGAGTTAAAAGGAGCTAGCAGCCACCACCACAGAAGTGATAGAGCATTTGCTTTCGAGGAGACATTCTCCAAATAGAGGATTGAGCTAGAATTGCTTTCAAGAGAGATGTGCAGTATCTATCCACTGAACTGTTAAGCATCTTTAACCAATTACCAAATGTTTAGGTAGCCTTAAAAAACTATTTAAAAAATAATTCAAATATTAGAACAGAGTAACATTTTGTATTGATCAAATGTAA